ATATAAGAACTTAATTAATAATAACTATATTATATAGAATACCTATATAAATTTAACTTTATAATTATTTATTATAAGTGCTTAAATAATAAATAAGCTAATTATTAGTTAATGCCTAGATTATAATACTAATATAATAAAAGCAAAAAAATAACTCCTAAAAAAAATAATAAAGGAAAATACTAATTTATATAATAAGCAAAAACTCTAAGACTTATAAATAACTATAAACCTATAAATTAAGAAGAATAAATAAATAAAATCTAAAATGCCACTATAAGATATAACCTCTAAGATCCTATTAAAAGCAAAGCCAAAATGCCTACCTATAATAACAAACTATAAGTACCTAAACAATTTAAAGAAGAACTAATATAGGATATATATAGATATCCCCTATATAGCCACTAAGGTATTATAAAAACCCTAAAATATATCTAAATATATTATAATTAAAAAAGAATTAAAAAGATAATAAAGAAGGTTATTAAATAATATAACTTATATATAAAAACTAAAGCATAATAATATAAACCTTATAGCCTACTATAACTACTAGAAGTAGCAGAAAAGACTATAAAGTTTAATTATAATAAACTATATAACTAAGCTACCCTTATTAAAAGAACCCTTAATTAGAATCTTTTATAACAGTATCTTAGTTATAGTAAATCAACTTACCAAATTCTCTTACTATATACCCTATAAAGAAGACATAAATGCAAAATAACTTGCCTATATCTTTTATAATAAAATAGTTAGGGAATACAGGTTACTATATAAAATCCTAATAAATAAAAAAACTATATTTATAAGCAAGTTCTAGCAAGCACTTATAGTATATATAGGACTAAATTACTAATTATTAATAGTATTTAGATTATAAATAAATAGATAAACTAAATAAATAAATTAAGTATTAAATAATACCTATAATACTATATTAACTATAAATAAAACAATTAGGTAGAAAAGTTACTAAGTGCCTAACTTGCCTATAATATAGTATATAATAAAAGCATAAAAACAATACCTTTAGTAGCAAACTTTAGATTTACCCTAAACCTATACTACATAGCGCAAGAACTAAAAACAGTTAACCTAGCTGCTATAATTAAGAGCAAAGACCTAAAAGCTCTATATAAGGAATTAAAGAAAAAATTAGAATTTATTAGAAAATAAATAAAGAAATACTATAATATAAAAAGAATTAAGAGACTAACCTTCTTAAAGGGAGATATAATCTATTTAGCTATAAAAAACATTATAATAAAATAACTAAGCTATAAACTAGACTATAAGTATATTAGACTATATAAAGTTAAAAGAAAAATCTTAAAAAATAATTATAAACTAGACTTACTACTAAAAGTTAGGCTTTATTTAATCTTTTATATTACACTACTTAAATTAGTAGTTAATATAATATAAGTTAAAACTAGTAATAAACTAAAAGAAATTAAAGGACTAAAAGTCTATAAAGCAAAAGCAATTAGAGATATAAAAAGAATTAATAAATAAATAAAATATCTTATTAAATAAAAGGACTACCTAGAAAATAAAAATATATAAAAACCATCTAAATACCTTACTAATGCCTAATAACTCCTAAAGAACTTTTACTAATAAATTTAAAAGGGATATTACCTAGAATTAAGTTCTAATTAATTAAGTCTATAACACCTAAGGACTAAGCTTTAGAGATAGTTGCAGATTCCTCCTAAATCTTACCTAACTCCTCTTAAGATTATATTCCCTATATAAATAACTTATTACCTTTTTGCTTTAATATATGCTTTTATTTGCAAATATGCTTTAACTTCGCTATAGCAGCCTCCAGAACTGCCTTAATCTCTTCCTCCTCCTTTTCTAACTTAGTATAAACTTTTATATTCTTCTCTATTATAAAGGGATTAGATTAGGAATAAATAAATAAAAAAAAAAAAAAAAAAAACTTATAATAAGAAGTAATACCTAAACTATTATATATTACTTTAGCCTTAATGCAGTTCTAATACTAATAAGACTAGTTACCTTTAACCTAATAAGAAAGACTATTTTAGAAATAATAAAAATATAGTATAATTTTATTACTAAATCTAATAATATACTTAGAAAGTTTAACTGCCTCTAATGTTTTTAGATACAGTTTACTTTTAGAAACACAACCTAATATCTTATTAGTATTTAGATAGAAATAGGATTAAGTTCAGACTTATAACTAATAAACTAATAAAGGGATAGATATGCAGGTCTCGAGGATAAGACCTAACAGAGGGGAGAGATTATATTATAACCCTAGCAGTTACATTACGTAAGCCCCATTATTTTCTCTAATTAGAAACAGAACCATCTATCTTATACTAGACTAACCTTCCTAATAGTTCGGTCTACTAATAAGATAAAGACTAATAACTTTCCTTTAATAGTCTATCTAGACCGATATATAAACATTATTAGTCTGCAAGGGACTAATCCTATTCTACTACTAGTCCTTATTATAACCTTAAGTATATAAAACACATTTATTAGCACTTTTATAAATTCTAGCTTACTAGCTATTAATAAGACTTCTTTACCTAAATATGCCTAACCTGCTCTATTTACTATTAAGAAACGTGATACTTTGCAACTACTTAGTATAACGCCCTGTAACTCTGCAAACATTAAACCTAGTATAGACTAGTTTACCTATTTAGAAACCCTTTTTATTATACTAATATTATAGCTAATCTGCTTATTAATTATATAGCCTATCTTATAACTTATTTAATCCTCTTTTATTACTAATATTAAAATTATAACTTTAAGTCTTTAGCTTTAGGTAACCTAAACTTATATATAAAGGAAGGGCCAAAAAGTCCTTACCCATACTAACACCGCGCTAAAAGGGCAAAGCAAGGTAAAAAGTAAAAATACCTTAAAACTACTAATTTAATAAGGGATAATCCCTGCCTTCTAAGTACTTATTCCCTCCTTTAATATTAATAATTTTATAAATATATATTAAAATTCTCTCTATTTACTTTTAAATCTTTATTTAAGATAATTCCTTTTATATAGCCTCTTATAAATAGCTTTATTTTTATTTTTTAATATGCCTTTTTTAGTAATATATCTCTTTATTTATAGCCAAGCAGGCTTTATCGTATTTAAATTAGGCAAATTTAAATACTAAAGAAGTTATTAAACCTCTTTTTTTCCCCTTCTTTATAAGCTTACTAGTCTCCTTATTTTACTTCTAGTCTAGCTTTTTGCCTAGCAAGTTATAAAGCCCTAGCCTTTATATACTATTAGTAATCTCCTATTATATCTTTATAACTAGTTTAAGGGCTTTATTTATTACTATAAGTATAGCTTTAACTTCCTTTTTCTCCTTTATAATTTCTAACCTCTAATAATAATAGGGTTTATTTTTATTATATAAAAGGGTAGCCTAAAATATAAACTTACTAAAGCCTTTCTATTACTTATAAATATAGTTATAAGTAACTTATTCTTTTACTTTTCTTTAAATCTAATAACTACTATAATAACAAAAAAGGATAATAAATATTATATTAAATTATATACTACCCTTTTAGTCTTTTAAGGTCTATTCTTAGTAAGTAAAATATTCTTTTAGTTATTCTTTTCTTATCTTTAGTATTAATTTAGGCTTCCTTATTAGCTTTATTTCTTATAACTAGTTTCCTTAAGGAGTAATATTATAATTAATTTAAAAATATATATTCTTACTAAGCTAAGCTTGCTAGTAATATTAATAGCTAAATTTTCCTATTTAATAAAAAATAAGTATAAAATCTAATACTTACTTTTATATTAAGAATTATAATATAATATAAACTCTTTATAATCTAATAGTTATATTAAGAAGATAATAACTACTATATAATATCTTAAAAATTAACCTTATTATCTTTAAATAAAATCAACTTAACTTATTTTAGCTATTAATTATTAATATATTTAGTAAATAATTTTATAATTAAGAATAATTTTCCTTTAACCCTAAGTTTTATATGCCTTTATATCTCCTCTAAAGTTAAGATATTAAAGTAAATTTAATATATATATATATATATTTATTATATTAGCTTTAGAAAACTACTTAAGGTATTATATATATTTAAATATAATAATATTAATTACTATTACAAGCTATAAATAAGGGTATAATATTATTTTATAAGTAGTATTTTAATAGGCTTAAGTCTTAAATAAAATTAATAATAAAAATTAATAAAAAATAAATAATAAAAGATATAAATTAAAATTAAAGTAAATTTAATACTTATTAGTTATTTAATTATATCTTAAATTATACTTTTATATACTTTTTATATACTTATTTATTATAAATAATGTTTAGTAAATTTTAATTATTATTTTCTTATTATTACTTAAATTTAATGAAGATATTTATAATTTTACTAACCCTGGCCTTACTTGTAATACTAATAGTAGGATAAGAATCTCTATAAAAAACTTTAGAAGTAGAGGTAATAAGAAATTCAGCAGGATCTTAGTTAAAGAGCTATATGGCAGAGGCATAATAGGGCTGGTTTATAAAGGAAAGGCTCAGACCAGAACGGGGGTAAGTCCTTCACTAACTTAGAGGCTTCTATATTAGGGTATGTATTTTCATACACAAGAGTCTTCCTATAAGGCTCTGGAGTAATGCACTAGCTAGTCTTATTCTTTTAATTAGCTTTCTTAGTCTCTTATTTGCATTTATACCATAGATTGCAATTGCAGCAGTCAGCCTGCACATTATTGAAATTTGATGTTGGTGGCGAAGAGGAAGTACATAGTTGTCAGTGAATTCTTGGTGGAAATCGCCAAATGTGTAGTTTCTTTGAAAGTCACTGATTCACGTAACTTGAGGTCTTTATAAACCCCGGCAGCTGGCTAAGTATAACGGCATCTCTCTCGAAATTACACTCTGCAACTATATCCATCGAACCTGCAAGTAACTCCATTCTTTGCATTTTATCACCATGCCTAGTCAGCCTGAACCTCAACCTCGACCTGGACCCAAGCTCTAATACCACTTATGTTCCTTATAAGAGAGAACGTTATAGGTAGCCTGGAGGATATGTAATAGATTAAATAGGACTCTGTATTTTCTGACTAGTATTTAATATACTACTTAATACTAGATGCAATAGAAATCTTATATAATATAAGGTTTGCTATCCTTTTGATTGTATGTTTCGAGCTTTGGTAATACATGCATAGGTCTGCGAAGTCTGTTGTGTTTATTGTAATTATAATAGCTACTCTTATATGTTTAATATAATTATTCTGTATAACGGCAGAATACCTTTTGAATAAGATAATATCATGGAATCCTTGGTATAAATACCTCCTCTTGCCCTTTGCATTCTTTCCCTACAGGCTGCACATCCCAAACACCACACTCAACTATTCTTAATCAAATCTTGCACCAACAGTCCTCATCTCCATTCATTTATCTTCTACAATTGCTAGTTCTCCCCAACTACTTGTCCCGGCTCTAGCACTGCACACGAGGGTACAGAAAGCCGCGGTTTGTCTCTTAATAGTTAACAGCCAGAGCTAAATTTCCGACTGCAGTCCAACTCTGCGGACATATTTTTCGATGCCCTTGAGTACCACTCGGATACTATGATAGAAGCGTCTCCTATGAAAAATTCACTGCTCGCCAGGCAATACCAAAACATGCATGACGATCGTCTGAAGCAAGACGAAGAGTATGGTAAGGCTTTTTGTGAACACCTGGAATTTTACAGGATTAGCCTGATGTTTTTGATTATGTTGTCAGTGTTTCCTGTGGGGGAGAACAACAGGAGATGGCCTCCTCTGTACAAGAGTCAGGCTGATGTGTTATTTGACTTCTTCCTTGGATTCCTTGAGGGGCCTTTGGCCAGTTGGAAGGAGGAACTTTCCGTCATTAAGACTACAGAGCTCTATCATTTGTCTTCTCTCATGTTTAAGTTTTACGATCCTGTGCGTGAAACTTACATCCCTTCCTACGAAATGATTCAAGAGTAGGCACAGAAAGTGTTGGTTCGAATAGGTCAGAATTTCCGGATCACTTACCTCCAGACCGATTAAGTATCAGTTAATTAATCGGCCGAAACAAGCTCCGAGAGGACTCTACTGTTCCTGTTCCCAGGCAACCTAACCTGGCAGGCGCGGTGGGCTCGGGAACGTCGTCTATGGGCTGCGGACGATACGCTGTGGATTGGGGGAGGACTATAGATAGTTATGAGGTTAGTGGTCTATGGGAGATTGGCATATTGCTGTTATGAATCTCGAGTGATAACTACTATTATAACGTGCTGGCAAGGGTAGGATGTCGTTAGACATTTGCTGGATAATGTTTGTGGTTTGTATAAAGCAGCTCAGGGGAATCTCAGAGTTGTACACAGTTTTAGTTTTAGCATAAGTGGAACCTAATAGATCCTAAAGGCTGGACCTTTTATGTGATTCAATGTTAGGAAACAAGATACATTACGAGATTAGATAACAAGAAACCTCATGCTGAATGACAGGAACAATAACATTCCAAAAAGGGGATATTGTTAGCTTGTCTGTCTTCGGCGTAGCTGACTTCTCATCCTTCGTGAAGAGGCTCAATGGTCTGCGACGCCATTCTCAATTTAAGGAAATCGAAACTTGAGGAGGAACTCTGAGCGGGTTGAGTGAAGAATTTGTGATCGATTCATAAGATAATCATCGAGACTTCAATATTACCACCATTTTATAGAACGGCCCGAAGGCTTACACTTTGCAATCATTGCCTATAGTTTAACATGGAGACTGCTAATCACTTGCTGGAAATCACACTAATTACTGTCCCACTGTCACGGCATTCGTTCCAAGGAAGACCTTGTACCCATTGTGTTTGAGACAATTTCCTTAATGCCTCCCGTTTAGAAGAGCATAACTCATAACTGAATCTTTTCCTAATTTAATTCTTTTATATGGTTTTTAAACTTGTAGCAGACAGAGGTAGCATGAAGTAAGAGATTGTAAAGCAGATACTAGCAGCAAGAAGGCAACAAGGTAAGGAAGAATATTTGCTTATCCTAATAAGCTTTCCTCTGCTAGTAGCAGCGCTAGATTACTAATTATCCAGTAGCAGAGGCGTAATAAAGCAAGAGGAATTAGTTAGGAATTAAGGAAAATAGTAATAATTAAAAAATATAATAAAAGTATATAAATAAGAATATTAATTATACCTATCAAGGCCATAAGGCAAAGGTACCTAGCCTGCTTTAGCTTTTAATAAAAGCAAATAAGGTTAAAAGGGTTAAAATAGCATACTTTTAGTAAAATTAGCAGTAAGATAAGAATTAAACACGGGCAAAATAAACTAGGTAAAGCTATAAGGTATTTAATATAGCAATTTATAATAATAAAAACTATTAGTACTTCTATTATTGTATAGATTAAGTAGCGGTAAAGGACCCCTATTCTAAGTATTTTAATTAGCTACAACCCCTTGCTATGACCTGACTAGAGCCTTATAGGCTCTCGGAGATAGGAAATTTTATTTTCGCTAACCGGTAGATAGGTATAATTGGCAGGCAGGTACTGTATAGTAGTTATTTAATTAGGTATATTGTTCAATCTTCCCTTCCCTAACATGACACGTTATTACGATATGTAAAACGAAAACTCCTTCCTATTCCTTTGCATCTTTTCCGTGGCCTGACTCTAGCATTATTACTTCTTCTAATCAGTTCGCATTAGATTCTTGATGTATGAATAACATTATGCCTGGCCGCTGGTGGAGGTCCCAGGTTCCACCATCACACCGTGCCATTTGTGGAAGACATTCTCTGGGTCGTACCTGCGCTTGAGCTCGCGCAGCCGTTCGACATGGTCGCCGAAAGCATCTTCGGGTGCCAAGGACTCATGTTCTAGGTTAATATAAAACGGGGCGGTATCGCCCGGGGTCCGTTTGCCGTGGTAGCCGCAAGTGGTGATAATATATTCAGATAACTCGCGCTTAAAGGTACGAACTTTAGCATCATGGGATTTGTCGTCGTACATGAGCGCCATCACGGCTATGTAGTGCTCGCCGCGGTTAGCGAACGCGGTTGCATCATGCGGAGTGGCCTGAATGGCCTTCGTGGGGAAGAACTCGAAGGCAAGGACTGATTTTGTCATATCGCTGTGAGAGGTGGTGAAATCCAGGAACCGCCGCCCGGCCTCTCCAACGATATCGGCATCGAGTGGCATCAATACGGTGCAGGAACCTACCAGCCTGCGTCCCGGTCCTTCGAACCTTGGGTTGAAGAGCGTATTGATTGTTGGATAGGGCATCATCCCGGTTAAATTGGCAATAGGACTGAGCGCCAGTAAGGGTGCGAAGAATTTCTCTGCCTCTGCCGCAGGACCGTTGTAAAAGACGCCTGTAATGACCGCTGGCATTATGTATTCCGGTGGCGCACATCCGAAGGCGATCATGTAGTTGTGGTCAATCGCGCCGCGGTTGTGAAACTCGTTTGCAAAAGCTACTAGCTCTGGTACCTTGTCCAACGTGAACAACAGGACACCCCCCCAAACATCACCTTGTGGGTGTGCCCGCGATGTGAATCGTGTAACAATGCCAAACTGGGCTCCTGCGCCTCGCACTGCCCAAAACAGATCAGGCTTCTGGGTCTCGGACACCTCGGCAATGGACCCGTCCGCTAGAATCATCTCGACTGAGACGAGATTATCAATAGCCAGACCGTGACGCGCAGTCAAGTAACCATGGCCACCTCCAAGAACCAGTCCGCCCACGCCTGTTTGGCTGTAGATTCCGCCGACAGTGGCCAACCCGTGGGCAGCTAGCGTAGAGTCGACGTCCCCAACTAAGCACCCACCCTCGTACGTTACTGTTCGAGCTACCGGGTCCACGCTGACATTCCGCATCCGCGTCAGGTCTATCACCATCCCGCCATCGGAGGACGAAGCCCCGCTTGTGGAATGTCCGCCGCCGCGAGCTGTCAATGGGACCTTGTGGGCTGTTGCAAACCGAATCGCAGTGGACACCTCTTCGGGGCTCGTCGCCCTTATTACTACAGCCTAACGATGGTTATAATCAGCACCCCTTCTGCGCCCCTTGGCAACTGAGAAGCAAGTTAAAAGGGATCACTGCTTATGTCTGATGCGTACCGCCGGCTGCTCACAGCTGTCACTCCATCGCTTCAAACTTTCTTGGTAACCTGCATCGCCAGGCAGGAGCACATCACCAGCTGTGATGTGTTGCCGAAGCTGGCTGAAAATGTCGCTCATTTTGCTCAGCGAAGTTTTCCACCCTCACGTTTGTCGACAGAACCATCAGGATCTTACGGAGGCGTGAGAGGCGGCACGGATGAACGGGAGAGAGCGACCTCATTTAAGCAGCTGAAATTGGCATCTGAGCCGTAGCGCTATCACGTTGTCTTCACGGCGCAGACATGTGAAAAACCCAGCAAGATGGGGATCTCAAACGCATGCAATTAAGTTCTGACTATTTGGCCTCGAGTTTACTAGGTGGCTGAGCTGCGTCTAAACAGTCATCCCATTATCATCTGATAGGAAAAATTGAAGTTTATGCTTTTCTTGGCTTGGCGTACGGGCAGTCTACCAGCATCTCATTCCGCGGCAACCGCCGAGTGTAGGCAACACATGATAGGCATTGGTGGGAGTCTCTTTGCATTTTGCGGAACCCTTTACCTACGGAGGAATTGGAGGGGCCACATCTCTCAACGGCGATTGCCGCCGGCTCTTCACCTTAAGGTTTTGGCCCTATGATGATGTATTCCGAAGCGCCCGCTCTTTACAAATGGCACCGTCATGTTTTCACTCGATCTGCCGACATTACACAGAGTCTGTGCTTAAGCCACGGATGGTGTCAGATGTGTGCTACATGGTAGTTTAGCGTGGGGCGCGCTCCTTGCCTATTGCTCTTGAGGCTCCGCAAACACTGGGGATCGTCAATTTGCCGGCGTCAATCGACGACGATAGGAGTATGCATCTAGATCGCTGTGCGGATAACCTAAGGTATGTCTGTGCTGATCTTGCATTTCTTGCTGTCATCTGTTTTGACTGATGCTTACTCCAAGTTACAACCTCGAATCACCCGGGTCAGACATACGTTTTTCACATGTTTGTTTTAAATCTCTAATCGACAATACTGCCCATCATGGGGGTTATACTACGATATAATTAGCCAAGCCAGTATCTTACTTATGTAAAATATGTCTCGTCTCGGGGATCTGTTACGTGCACCGGGGTCGGTGTATTTAAGATCCTTATATAAGCTGTATGTATGGCCTAATTTAATAAGACTTAATAGACCGTCTTTTCCACCTTTAATACATTAATTAACAAGCTATAGATTATTAATTCTACTAATTTTATCTATTTTTAGTTATAATAAGCTTAATTAAAGTCCCTTTTTGCTTTCCTAATTATATTCTCCTTTCTAAAGGTATATATAGCTTAAAAGAGCAAGTTTATAAAGCTATAAATAATTAGGCAAGGCTATAAGGCTATATATTTTCTATTAGTAACTTAGGGATATATGCTAATAGTAAAAGAAAGTATATTTTTAATTATACCTAGGGAGTAGGGTATATGCTTTTTTTTTAGGAAGTTAAGAGACTTTTACTTATTATATAAGCTGCTTATTCTCTAACTGAGTAAAGAAAAGCTATATTATAGGTAATTAGCTTTTAAATATTATTAAGGGACTTAATTTTATACTTATAATTATAAACTAAGTTTAGATCCTATAGTATATCCTTTATTTTATTAACTATTCTAAGAGAATTAGCTAAAAGTCTAAAACGTTTTTAATACTAATATTATATTAAAAAGGATTAGGTGTTACTTATAAGGATATTTTAATATAATTATTATATAGTAAGGTATTTATAATAATATCTTAAAAACTAAGGGAGCCCTTACTAAAGGGTAAAGTATTATAAAAAGGGCTTTAAAGTTATATATATTATAATAATATAAATCCTATATTTATATTAATAATACATAAATATTATAGCTAATTTGCTTATTTAGCTATATAGCCTATCTTATAACTTATTTAATTTTCTTTTTACTTTTAATATTAAAGTTAGTTATACCTTTAAATTTTAACTTTAGGTAACTTAAACTTATATAAAACTTAATATATTTTCTTTTATAAAACTTTATAATTACCCTACTTCTATTTTAAATAGTATAATATATTTTCCCTCTTATTTTAATTATACCCTTATACTTAAGAATTATAACTAGCCTATTACTAGGTATTAATTAACTTTATAGACTTTATTAACTTTATTAACTATTTCTATATAATATTAAGCTATTACTTATATAGGTTTTTAATTAAAATCTTTAATTTAAAGTTTTTAATAAATTCTGTATTACTTACTTTTATAAGCCTTTTTAATATAAGAGATTACTTTAATTTTTATAATAGCTTAATTTCCTTCTTAAAGTAACTTTTAAAATTATTAATTTATTATATTAATAATGTATAAATAAAAAAACCTTATAGCTTATAATAATTTATTTAATAAAAGTAATATTATTTTCTTTATTTTAAGTCTTTTTAATTTTTATTATTAAAATATAAAGTTTATTTTTATATTTATAATCTTTAAGAGCTATTATAAATTAAGAAATTAAGTTAAGTATTTTAACATAATAGGCCTTATTAAATAATTATAAGTTTTTTTTAAATAAGTATTATAATAATATAATTATAATACTATTAAAATTATACTTAAAAGTTAAAGTAAATACCTTATTATAAAAATATAATAAATAATTAAAATATAATATACAGTCGAGGATAATAAAAGAGTAAGTATATAATTATAGCCTTAGTTTATTATATTAAAAATTAACTTAAAGTGTCTTAGCTTTTTTAAATAGGTTATAAGAAGTTAGTTAGGGCTAGCTAATAAGTAAATAAGGCTTTTTAGCTAGTATATATATAGCTAGGTTTAGGCTATAATTAAGGCAGCTAATTATAATAATTTAACTTAATAAAGCATTACTAGCTATAGGGGTAATAAATATTTAAATTATATTAAACTTTAAAGAGGCTTTAATATACCTTTTAAGGCTAACTTATAAACTTAAAAATAAAAAAAAAGAATTAATAATAATAATAATATAAATATAATAATAGTTATTATATTTATATATTTAAATTTACTTATATATATTAAATTATATCTAGAAATAGTTATTAGAAACTATATATATAAGATTAATAAGTATAAAATGCCTTTTTTTAATAAAATTAATATTAATACTTATTAAAAGAGTGTTTATATTATATATGCTATTTTTAACAAAGCGGAAGAATTTGACTTTAATTAGGCTCTTATATAATTATTATTTCTATATAAAGAATATAATATAGGCCGTTTACCTATTATATTTATATATTATTAACTAACCTTTATAAATATAATCTCCTTTTTAATATACTTCCCTAAACCTACCTTACTATTATATATCTAATATATTATTATTATAATCCTAAGTAATTATATATTAATATTTATAAAGGGTAAAGATTATATTAATACAATAAAAAAGTAAATACAGTTTTATTATTTATAATAAGAGATTATTTATTTAAAAACTAAAGAGACTTATAATAAGAGATTTAAAAAGTTTAAGGAGTATTATAAAGCTAATTACTTTATAATATTAAGCTATATTATAATTATATAGCTTAAGCCTTATAAGGAGAAGTCTAAAAAGGCATAGACTAACTAATTACTTTACTTTAAAAAGTATATTACTTTATATTATAAAGGTATTTATTAATTAATTAAATCTAATATAATAGTTTATAGGCTAGCCTTTTCAAGGCCTAAAGAGTTATTATATATATAATTATAAACTAACTTATTAAGATTTAAGTAAATTAAATAAGGCAATAAGTAATAATATTAAATATTTAAAAATTAATAATATTTTATAATAATATCTATCCCTTATTTATATTAATAATATATTAATATTATAACTTATTTACTTATTTAATTATATAGCCTATCTTATAACTTATTTAATCTTTTTTTATTATTAATATTAAATTTATAACTTTAGGTCTTTAACTTTAAGTAACCTAAACTTATATAAAACTTAATATATTTCTTTTAAACCCCGCAATTACCCTACTTTTATTTTAGATATTATAGTATACTATCCCCTTTATCTTTACTAGCTATTAATAAGCTTTAAAGCCTTTATTAGCTTTACTAACTATTTCTTTATATTATTAAGCTACTATTTATATAAGTTCTTAATAGTTATTAATTTAAAGTCTTTAATAAATCCCTTATTGCTTGCCTTTATAAGCCTTCTTATTATAAAGGATTACTCTAGCTTTTATAATAGCTTAATCTTTTTCTTAAAGTAGCTTTTAGAGATTATTAGCTTTTTATAATAATAATATATAAGTAAAAGAACCTTATAGCTTAAAATAGCTTATTTAATAAAGATAATATTATCTTCCTTATTTTAAGCTTTTTTAATTTCTATTATTATAATATAAAGCTTATTCTTATATTTATAATCTTTAAGAGCTGCTATAAATTAAGGGATTAAGTTAGGCATTTTGGTATAAAAGGCCTTATTAGGTAGCTATAGGCTTTTTCAGATAGCAGATATCGTGATGGTGCAGCTATAATGCTATTAGCAGTTGCGGTCAGAAGGTATAGGGAAAGTCGGGTTGGATAACTTACTGTAGAAGCGTGATAGATGATTGAAGCGTGGTATGCTGCAGAGGTCGATAAAAGACCTTTTAGGTAGGTTATAGGAAGAAGGTCGGGGCCAGCTGATAAGTAGGGCTTTTTAGCTGGCATATATATAGCTAGGTTTAGGCTATAATTAAGGCAGCTAACTATAATAATTTAACTTAATAAAGCTTTACTAGCTATAGGGGTAATAAATATTTAAATTATATTAAACTCTAAAAATACTTAAATATACCTTTTAAAGCTAATTTATAAACTTAAAAAATAAAAAAAGATATATTATATAAAAAAAAAAAAGATAATAAAGATTTTAAAATATAATAAATTTACTTATAAAGAAATATTAATTATATTTATAAAAGTAAAAATTTTACTACTTAGCTTATAAAAGCTTTTAATAAAAATAGCCTTAACCCTTTAAAAAAAGAAATAAATAAAAAAGTTATTTATAAATAATATTAGGAAATTAGTAATAGTTATAAACTTAATATAGCTATAAAATATATAAGGTAGCTATTTATAATATAGCAAGCTGCTAGTACTTCTATTATATTTAAAACTAGGTATATAGGGATATACCTTAAGTTGTGCTAATTTTAATTGGCTCTAGACCCCTGTCGTGACCCCGTTGCAGTCTTGTGCTGGTTAAAGAGATAGGCTTTTTACTAAATAACAACGCTGCCGCTGCGGCTGTGAATTACTAATCCGTAGCTAGGATTATTAAATCTATCACCGATGCTATGTAGCGACTTGTAACTCGACAGATTGCTGGTACTTCTATCATAGGCTAAAATAAGGGGAAGGCCTTAGGTATCTCTGATCCGATGCATTTTAATTGGCTGCACCCCCCCTGCCGTGACCTGCCGGGAGGTTTTCCACAGCTCAAGGGATAATTCTTCAATTTAATTAGGCTTGAATGTTAGTTAACTAAGAGCATAGCTTAGACTTCTTCTTGTTTGATGAAATCTATTGCCTTCTTCATCTCAAACTACCTTCAAAGCTCCCTAGTTCTCATAGTGACAGCGTCCCTTTCAATGCACTAGAAGTGAAAAGCACTATGGTGGGTGACTCGCGTCAAGACGTATTGATTTCATAATTAAAGAGCCAAGCCTGGGGGTCTGCAATGAGGCGATAGTTTCGCAAGTCCCGGGCATTACCTAATCCAAGCCACGTCGCCTCCAACGACTTTCTGTGTGCAGCCCACTCGGCAACTTTCATCCTCGCCTTCAAGGAAAATGGAAACGACATAAGCCGTACGACTAAACTGATCATCAGGATCTAACTTGAGGTCGCCATCCTTTTCTTATGATTCCTTCCTAGGTGCAAATCTTTCGGTTCTCAGGCTGCACTCTCGACCGGGTCTTCCTTGCCCTCCGCTGTCTCCCTCTTATCGGTCCTGTCCATGCGTCTTGAGCCTCTTTTCCATTTCAAAGGAGTAGTCCCCAGATGGTGGACGGGCAAGCTCACCTGGTGCTGACAGTCACCGTCGACTGAACCCTTGCCACGTTACGCTGATGAACCACGGCGTGTGCTTTACCGATCACCGTCATGACTTCATCCCAGCTGCCTTCTAGACATGCAAGTGGACAGCACGCCCTTTCGTCAGCCTCGAAAGAATTTGGCTTCCATCTCTGGAGCACGCAGTCAGCAAGACTCACCGAGCATGGTACCAGTGGAATGCATTGTGTGCTTTAGCCCACTAGACTTGAGATATCGCTGCACCTCTGCGAGCTCGGCGGCGATCGACGGGTTGCCTGTCCCAATCTGTATCCTGAAATCAGCGCCGTTTTCATCCTCACGGCAGGGCATGACGGGCACTGGTCGCCCAAGAATTAGAGGGGCCCTTACAGGAACAAGAGCAAAATCGGCGCAACACGATGGCGGCGTAGAGAGCAAACTATAGTCCATGTCGGCAGACTTAGACGCGGATTGGTTAGGATGAATTTAGGTCTCAAAACAAGGCTCATTCACCGACAGGTGATGGAACTGCACGTTGTGATCTTTAAATTAATAGTAGCAAAAAGACATGTTTCCCCGGGAAGCACGAGGTTTTGAACTTTCGGCTGAAGCCGAGTTTAGCATGTGAACCATCTGTAATCTACCCCGCGATCGGGAAGTGAACGTCAGGGCGAAGTGGTCGATGATCCGAGCACACACATCGGTGATGCCAACGTGACGCAAGCCCAAGAGAGGTTTGCAACGTCCTCTGATCAGGACCAGGTCGCCGCATTGCCCTGATTTGCTGTATCTCACCGGCTAAACTACTAGCAAGGTTGCAGTCAACGCGATGTAAGCCATGGCAAAGGGCTTGGGACAGACTTGTTTTGGGTCGTCTCCTGCTGCTTGCTATTTTGCTCTAAGAGCGCTTCCAACCATTTCAGTGATCCTGGGGGCTCCTCGTTCAGTTGTACGTAATCCTCCATCATACGTCGACCCTACTAAGCCGGACTGGGTGAATAACGATTCTACACCTTGACGTAGCGTTGGCTTGCTGTTCCAAATGGTCGGAACATCTTGACTGTCTTGAACCATAACCTTCTGTATCGCGTCTAACACATAACCCTGGCCCGGAGAGTTTCGTCACCCTGGCCGAGTAGTCGTCCACAAAAGCGATTAATCCACCATTCTACTTTGCACCAGGTCCGCGTTGAAAAAGAGGAACTGGACCGGCGACAGAGGCGATCCCTGCGAGAGCCCTGCCTTAGGTAACTCCCATTGCTCCGATGTATGGCCGTTCACTACGATACTTGCTGTGCGATTCGAGCAGAAAA